AGCAGTAGCAGTAGCAGTAGTAGTAGTATAAGTAGTAGTAGTAGTAGTAGTAGTAGTAGTAGTAGTAGTAGTAGTAGTGATAGTAGGAGTAGTAGTAGTAGTAGTAGTAGTAGTAGTAGTAGTAGTAGTAGTGAAGTAGAAACATGCGCACGGTGACAGGAGGTTGGGGCGGCCGCGACTCGCGAGGTTGGCAGGGTTCTGTTGAGAGGTTGGAAGCCTCGAGGGTGGCTTCTCGCAGTGGTAAACCAACCCTGAAAGAAAGCATGAAGCCGAGGTTCCAAACCTTGCACATTTACGGACCAGAAGGTTAAAGCAAACTTGACTCTGAAGCCCAAGCCCGCGAAGGCGGCAACACCATCCGCTCTCAGGGCGGCTGGCTAGGACCCCAGCGATGTCGTGGCGCAACTCGCGGACCCCGTGCAATGCTAGGCGTCAGGCTTTGGAGCTTGAAGGGAAAACGGCAACCTACAAAAGCTGCGGTGTGCCAACACTTTGAACCCCCAAGCCGTCACATGGTTTTCAAGGTCCAGCGGCAAAGGCAAGGGCGGCGGTGGCAAGGGCGGAAAAGGCGGCGGTAAGCCGAAAGGCGGCAGCCGACAAGGCCCGATAGGCCGTCTCTCGCTAAACCATCGCAATTGAATCCAGCAGTCAAAATGAGGAGCCACGATCGATTGTACATGAGTCAGAAATACGAGCTCGAAAACGCATGGTCCTAGGCCCTAAGCCTCCTTGATGCCCCGACACGGGCGCACACACTGGAATCTCTGCAAAGGCTCCGGTGCCGACGGCCCGAGCTGGCGAAGGGAGGGACAGGCAAAAACCTGAGCCTGTTCGCCTAGGGTTAAGCATCTACAGTTTCGGGTTCGGGGCTTTCAGGTGCAAGCTTCTCAACCAGCTTTGGGGTTGAGAGTTTTCTAGTGAAGTGGTTGGTGGTGTCCAACATGCTACGGAGACTAGGCTCTTGAGTGCGTTCCGGAGTTTGGGTACATTTGCCCAGATGCATTTTTCGACTGCTGAACCCGACACCCAGACAGCACTAGGAGGTCCATGCGATAGCAGGTTGAGTACCAATAGCACTGGCCATTGAAGCCGAAGCCGGCGATGCCGCACAATTTTATCCAGCAACTCGTACACAGGAGGTTTCCGGTAGTCCGGACCGTGCTTTAGAGGGCAAGGGGGAGCGAGATAATTGCCTGTTCAGCGTTTTCGTCTCTGCGGCAGCAAACTTCTTTGTAGTTGAGAGTTCAGTCGTGGAAGACGTTCGGTGTCAAAGAGTGATTGGTTGTCGGACTCTACAGACTCTAGGGCCTAGGGACTCTGCGGTTAGGCCTCCACCAATGGCGCTGCGACGCTCGGCTGCCGTGGGAAATTATGGAGGGAGGGTTTGAAGAGTTCTCAAAGTCCTGGCCGTACGTGCCGTCGGAACTAATGAAACAGTTACGTGCAGGGCCATGAACAAAACGCAGCGATCCGAAAACACAGAGGGTCAATCAATCCCTTGAGATTCTTTCCCCTTCATCCCTCCTTTCTCATGCTGTATACATGGGTAGTTGTCAAAATTATGGTCCCTTTTTGGGGTACCCTAAATAATAGGTGCCGTATTATAATAAGGACCCCAAAAGGGACCCTAATTTTGACAACCACCCACATATACCATAGTTCTTTGGCCAGCACCAGCTGCGGAAATGCGAATCCCTCGATTGACCCTCTGTATGGCCCAAGGAGAGATTTCTTCGAGGATGGAGGCCGCGTGCCGTTGTGCGTTCTCTCTGTTTCCATCACTCTCTCTCTCTCTCTCGCTCTCTCTCGCTCTCTCTCTCTCTCTCTCGCTCTTGCTCGCTGGCTCGCTGGCTCTTTCGAGTACGTCGGTTTAGAGCTTCGATTTTGAACTGGCAGTCTGGCAGTGGAGGCTTGCAACAGCCTTCGGTTCCAGCAGCAGCATTGAATGGCCCTAGTCGGTGTTTTTTGCAGACCCCGAAACTCAAGATTTGTTAGCTTGGATTCCGATGTCTTTCGCTCTGGCGAGCGGCTGTAAGTCAGGAACACTCGTGTGGGCTTTTCAGGCTTTCGGGCCAACATGCACTCCTACAGTCTCGAAGCATTGCCCTTTTTCCAGGCAGGAGCAAGGGCCAAGGCAAGAAGCTGGTGGCTCAGACGTCTGAAGCATCAAGACGACAGCTTGAAGCCGCAATACACAGGTGTATGACTAGCATGAGTCAATGATCAAGCTGTCTTGAAAGCACCCGCAACCCAAATCCTAAACTTCTGGAGGTCTGCAGGAGGACCCTCAAGCAGGAAACTTGCATCCGCACATCTAGGCTGTTGGGTGGATGCTTTCACCCTTGACGCTTACACGAGTTTACGCAGTTCCATGATTTTTGCAGATCTTCAGAAGTCTTGGGGACATGGCGAGCATTCCTCGGAATGTTCTTGAGAAGTGAAAGGAGTCCGGGACAGCTGGTGCTGGAAGCCTGAAGGTTTGGTTGGTCCGATTCCTGCCAATCTATACCGTAACGGAGTACGAAGCCAAGTAATGGGTACATAAAGAAACGTAAATAGGAAAACCATGGGCATGTGTAATGATGCTTTACGAAGT